AAGCTTAAGCCTGCTTAACTCCATCATGTTTACAGTTTTGGGCCAGTAGCATCTCTCTTTGGTACTGTGAGTAATCTTCATGTTTTGTATGCTTGTATTGCAATTTTTGTGCCATCTCTAAAAAAAAATAAAAGGAAAGAAAATGAAAAGAAAAGGGGGAAGGGGTGGAGGAGGGGGAAGAAAAAAAAAGAAAAAAAAAAAAGGAAAAAAAAAAAAAAGGAAGCCCTACAAAACTTAAATACAAAGCAAATAAGTGCCTGATATAAATTGATGTAATTTTTTGAGGCCAGTGACATCAGTTTACAAAAATTAAGATGTGACTCTTGCAGTCTGCCTTCAGCAGGAAGAATATCTTCTTTTTTGATTTGAATTTGTTGAATTCATTGAAAATAGTAATACAGTCTCCTAACTTTAAAATGCGCCGCTGAAGAAAGTATATCACCAGTTAGATCTAGTTGGATATCTAGGAATGTAATGACTCCATCTGCACACACAGCTGTGCAACCTGTGCATGCAAAAGACAAAGAAGCACATATTTTCATGCATAACTGCCTGCACATTTGTTAAAATCTGGAAATTTGAGGGTTCTATGAAGCACTCGGTAGAATGTATATCAAATGCAAAAAGCGTACTGCTAAATCTCTTTAACTTCACTGAATTCTCTTATTCTCTATCTCTGTCTCTTTCTCTCTCTCTCTCTTTTATTGGATAGCCATGGAAGATTGGTGGCTGAATAGGGACAAATACACTTTTGAATGTGTGAAAAAGAAACTCTGCAAACTGTGAGAAAACCAGTCTATTTCAAGATTATTCTTATGTCCTTAAGCCAGTGCGTGAATCCAACCTCAGTATTTTAATTTGTGATAGTTAAAAACAGTTAATGTATTTTGTTTTATTTGTTATTTGGTTGAGCAGATGGTAATGGTTTTGACACAAATCAGGTTTTTTTATTATTTTTTTTCTTTTCTTTTCTTGAAAAAGACAAGGCTCTTTTTCCCACTTTGTCACAGCTGGTTACCAATCAATCTCAATTCACGGTACAGTGATGATAGCACATGTTGTTCAGGGGCCAAATCTGATTGGGTTGCATTTTCAGCAGTGTTTCATATTAAAAAAAAAAAGTGTCTGTATGGCAGTGACTGTCAGCACACTATTGTACAACTGTCATTAATCAAAACTAGCAACAATGAATGTATTCATATGTGCCAGAGACTGCCAGATTTCACTCAAAATCACCCAATTTCTATTAGAATTTCCTCACCAGCAGTGTTTTCTCATCTGCTTGTTGTTTTCTCTGTTTCTTTCTTCCTTTCCAGTCCCCTGGCCCCCTTCCTTTTAGTTAATTAAAGACAGATCTATGTGAGCTATTACTTGTTCATAGCAGAAGTTATGTAACACAATACCCATAAGTGGCTGGGTTTTATCCTAACACAGGACTAGCTGTTCAAAAGACCTCTTCCAGTGCAATTTGATGGCTGAAGTTTCAGCTAAACTGAAAGGTTAAGCACCTCCAAATGTTTAACAAAGGGAAGTATTTAAAATCAATTAGATGGCCATAAACATATGTAGCAGATGTCTGACGCCCTACATTTTGTGCAGAATGTTGGCATTACTTGGCTAAGAGACAGCAATATTAGGGTAATATGTGGGAAGGTGTTTCTTGACATTGCACATATTTTGAAGACACTGCTTTCTAAGCACACCAGCATAACTGGTACACTCTGGTTTTCTGCTGCCCCACCATCAATCCAGGAGTCTGGCCACTTCTGTCTGAGTGGCATTGACAGTCGAGGAGGCCCTGAGCCCAATTCCTAAGTGTCAGCTTGGAACTGATCCAGGTGGGAGTGAACTTCTCCAGAAACTCAGATGAAAACATCTTGCTGAGGGCATAGGAACCTCTGGATTGAGAGGAGATCAAACACTATTCCAGGCTTTGCTTGAGAAACTTAGAAGATACAACCACATTCAGCCTTCTCACCTTGTTACTTCACAGTACCTTTCTCCGACAAGCTCTTTGTGCTACTATACATAGATCAACTAAAGCTAAAAGCCAGTTTTCTTCTTATCTCCTTCCTGCCTGCTTCATCTGTCAAAGCTCTTCACTGAACCGTGGTGACTTCTGGGGACAGTGTGAGAGGAACAGATGACTGAGGGGCAGCATATCAGTACTTCAGGACAGCAGATGGTTATGCTATCCCATGAGCCCATCTGTGTATGAATCCAATTGCTAGATGGCATGTTCTGCCAGGGTGGTCCAAAAACTCAGTATGGTCTTGTTGGAGAAGCAGGCTAGGAGAGCAGGACCACTCCTTGAAGTAATTGATAAGTGGGCCATAAGTGGACAGTGACACATTTACTGCTTCTTCCATTTCACAATCCAAGTGGGAGATTATGGCTGTGCTCCCTCTCTGCGTCCTGGCATGCCATGCAGCTGGCTTTTTCCCCCAACAGCCTTTGCACAATTTGCATGATTGGCAGGTGCAAGCATAAAGACTGCATAAGCCTCCAAGGCAGCTGGCTGGCATATCAACACCAGCGCATCGGTGAGATGAAGAACGAGTCAGCTGCAGCCCTCGGCAGACTGTCAGGCCCTGTCCCAGGCTGCCTGCATCCCAGTTTAAGCAGCCAGCCAATCAGATACAGCCCTGTTGCCTGTCTGGTTTTATCTCAGCAGTGGTAACTAAACCACAGGGATGTTATTTATCTTTTCTTTCTTTCTTTCTTTCTTTTTTTTTTTAAAGCCATTGTAACAAAATTAGTGTCTAATTGTTGCCCAGCTTTATAAATATGATTCCTATATGCAACTCATATTTTCATTACAGCTGATCTTAGTTTTGTTGTCTCACAGGAGGTGAGTGCCACTTCATATTTTCAGTCCCTTACAGCTGGCCTTGTGTCAAGAAAATAAGCAATTTCTTTTGTCTGCAACTCTGTGGTGGCCAAAGATAAATAACTACTCCATTGTTGTGGGATATGATGTCATATTCTTGAGACTTTTAGAGGAGACCATTTGCCTTTTTTCAGTTATAGAAACAGTGGTTCTATTTGCCATTGACAAGAGGAGCACAGAATGCAGAACTGCATAATTTGTGTACAGTCAGGATGAAATGTGCCTCAGCTGCTTAAGGCTTTGGAATGAGTAGCTGAACAGCTCTGAACCAATCCAGAAAATACATGTTAAGTTTTCTATTGCCATAAGTTTGTTTTGTCATTCAGTAGTACAGAAATGCTAGAAAAAAATAGTCCCTAGAAGTTTCTGACTACTCTACTTATTCCCATTGACTTATCTCTTGTTCATTAGTTAAATCTGACATACAGAAAATATGTACAGTTAAGTGGAACTCCTAATGAAAGGGATGTGATCTGTTTTTTGTTTGTTTGTTTGTTTGTTTGTTTCTGGCAGAGCAGTTAGCCATAGTTTGGTCTTTTTGAATTCATGGCAAATGACTAGAATGGATTTATTGAGTATAGAATGAAACTGTAGTGCATTGTGATGAGTACAAGAAAATGCTATGACTTCTCTTTGTTCGTGAAACAAAGTTAATCTTATTGATGTTGTGGGCTCTCCTTAGACATAGCAGAACTTTAAACATTTCAGCATATAAGGCTCTTTGAGTTAAGATACTTTTATATCTATTAGCATACAGTACTCTTGCTTCAAAGCTATAATAAAGAAGCCAATAGTGATGCATGTTTTGTACACGTGATGCTCCCAAAACATTTAAAAATACTCATAAAGATCTTCACAATGTTCCAATAAATAATAGCATTACATTCTTACTCATTAAAACATGTAAGCATGCTATTCTCTATCATTTCAGTATGTTTGCTGAACAAGCTTGCAAGCAGGGTCTTTACTGTTTAACAAAGAGAAGGTAAATTAGTTTTTCTGAAGTTATGTAGTAAACATTTATTGACATCTCCTGAGGTCTAGATCTTTCTTTAGTCTCATGTGCCTTTTTCACTATTTGATGCATGAAAATATGAAGCTAAATCTCAATCTTAGTTAAGATATCGTTACCATATGTCTAGAAGAAATGTTGAAAGTAATTTTCCAAGAGGGTATTTCAAGAGCAAAATATCTATGTTGAAAACTGGTGTTTTCCTGATTCAGGAGGCAAATAAATTTCATCCAAGATAAAGTATCCTGTTGACTTAATGAGGTTAGATCGAAGCCTAAAATATTTTGTTAAGCTAGACTTTTGCAGGCTGGTAACTATTTAACAGATAATAATTTTCTATTTTTCTTGATTGAGCCACTCTGAATGCCTTGTGAATGAATGCTCACAGCCTGCTGCCATACATTATTTTTTCAAATTTTACACATTCTCATAATTCTACAGTTATTACAACAGTAGAAGCAAAAAAAAAATTGACATAATTGAAATCTTCCAAATTTATTTTAAGAAAGAGAATGTTATTGTTTACTCTTAATGAATCACTCTGTAGTATTTCTGTGAAATTGATAAATCTTCTTTAATATGCCTTTTCCATAAATGTCACTTTCCAGAGCTTAAATATATTTTTATTGTTTATAATATTATAGTGTCAGAGCCTACCAACATGCATAGTTTTCCTAAGTGATTGTTGCTATAGTGGAGAGCTACATATAAAGGAAAAATTCCAAATCAGCTAAAGATAAAATATGTATCTCACAAAGTTAAAGGGTGAGAAACCTGAGCTGTCATTTATTGATAATTGATGTCTGATAGCTTAATTTTATCACATTACTCTAGATCAAGGATGAAGTGCAAGATATTAATAAAACCCTTATACTGAGTGAGCACAGAAATACTAATTTTATGTAAAGTTTCTAACTAATGCAGAGTGCAATAAAAATGTCACAGAGATTAATGCTTGGTGGAATTATCTAATGTTAGGTAATAATTTATCTTCAAAAGTTGAATCCAAGATAGAGTCAGACCAGTATATCCCAGATAAGAGTTTCTGTACATTCCTGTTGGCTACAAAATATTTTCATTCTTTTTTTTGCAACACAGGTATGACATTAAAGATGACTACACTTTGCGCATCAAGAAGGCTATGAGCACAGATGAAGGCACCTACACGTGCATTGCTGAGAATCGAGTTGGAAAAGTGGAAGCATCTGCTACCCTTACTGTGCGAGGTGAGTGTTCCTGTGGAGAGAGAGCTTGTGTCCTGAATGAATCAATGGCTATCTGACAAAATGAGCCAAATCCTTACCTGCTGTGTTTGGTTTTCACGCATCCTGCGCAGTTGCTGGTGCTCTACTGATTTACTGCAAATCTAAAATCCTGCTCCCATTGATATCTGTGGCAAAATTCTAGTTGATTTCAGTAGGATAGGATCTCGCAGCAGTTAATGATCTGTTTTAATATTTTTTTATTGAAGAATAGATGCATACGTTTTCATAAGCAAGCAGTAACAAACTACATGGACACTCTTTCATAAGTAAAAATTCAGTTTAAATTGTTGTTATTATGGTTCTATTCCCTAATAAATATAAGGAGTGCACTATGTTTACAAATGTCAAATGTAATGCACATAGTATAATGGAACTATTAGCTCTTCCATAACTGAACTCCCTGCTGTTATTCTTTACTTGTAAGATAAATCCCAGTCAAAGGAAAAAGAAAATCTTAATTAGATTTTGTAAGTAATACAAGATAAAAACTAATGTATTCTCTCTTAAAATATCTCCCAGTCTTTAGTATCCACTCATTGTTTATGGGGTGCTATTTGATATGGTAAAAAGGTTTTAACACCAGCAGAACAACAAGCTGCCCAAATGTCATTTGTGACGGTAGATATGGACATGCCAAAGATTATAGAGAGAAAAAGTTTGTGGGACAATATTTCTGTATTAGTAAATAGAATATAATAGTTATTACTTCGTTCCAAAAGATAAGCTATGATTTGGCACAATGGATATCATGCAGATACTATTTCACAGTTTAGTGGTGCATGCTGACAGTTTTCAGTAGAGCTGTGAAAGGTTAATAAAAACATTTTTGGCTTTATCTGTGCTTCTCTTTTCATACACGTTAAATCAAATGTTCAAAGTCTCAGTGGATTGCTTTATTAGAACAGGGGTCAACTGACCCAAGAGGCCAGCTTCCATTTCCATCCATTTAATGCATGGACACAGTTCAGTTTAATTTGCTGAATTCAAAGGGCAAAAAAGCACCAAATGGCTTTGTAGAGGGGAAGATGTTAGTATATAACAAAGAAAAGAGAATATTGTGATAATGTATTTGCTAAAATGTTACCTCAGTGTTCGTTCTAGGTAATATGTGGTAATGTAGATCTTCCTGTTTTCATCTGAAGAAGTAGGTTTACCTGTTACATGTTTGTGTAAGAGATTATTTTTCCATTTGTAATGTGAGAAAAATAGTCACTACACTGAACTCCAAGAAATGCTCTAAATCTGCTCCTTTGTCACAGACAGAATCATGATATCCAATATATCTGGCAATCAATTTAGTAGCCTTTAAACATGCCTAGATCTGTGTCCACTGTATGCATCACTGAAGCAGGCTTTTAATATTTATATAGTATAGACTTGTAATATGAACAATAACTAGAAACAAGCAAAAAAATCCTTTGAAATCACTGAAGCTTGAACTTGATCAAATTAAGGTGAAAAAAACAAACAAACAAAACATATAATTTAATTGATTTTCCTATAGTAAAAGCAGGCTTTCATTATCTTGGGTACTACTCTCCCCTAGGTTTGCAATTTACATTCGAATACATAGTATTTATCCAACATAAAGGAAGCCATGATGATACAAGCTTATGAAATGTTCAGGGTAACAGGAAATGAGAAAAGCTAAGAAATTCAGTGAAGAAATGTTATTAGTCTGTATTTCCTGGAAACAAAGTACCGGATAAACTCCTGTTGACTTAAAAGGGACCACATATGGTGTTCCTTTTAGTTAAAAGAAGATTTAATTCTGAATTCTTAAACTTTCATCAATTTCATCTGAAGTTGATTTTGGCAAAATCATCTTTTGTGTGGAGGAGAAAGTCATTTAGCACTTGAAAATTCACTTTGAAGATCCTTGGTCCTTGTGTGTGTTTTTTTCTGTAGTTTTGACTGCAAACCTGGCAGCAACAGCATAATCCTTAGCTGCCTCCGTCACAGCTCCATCTTCTCAAAGCAATGAATGAGGATGCAGTCAGGGAGTTCACTCTTATACTGTTGTACAACTGTTACATGGTTGTAAATGATAACAAAAATTGAATTCAGTGATTCAGTGTTCAGGCTCTGTCTTGGAAAGATGCACATCACTCATTCCTTATCTTTCTGTGAGACCAGGAATATGTCATAATACTAAAAATCAGAATGTCTCAAAATAGATGACAATTTGAAAAAGGGCAGTAGGCTTGAAATAATTAAAGTGAATATGACAAAGTAAGAATAGAGATACAGAAATGCTGAGAACAAAAATGATATTTCCATGCTGCACTCATAAGGATCTGTACGTCTTTGCTTTTGGCCTTAGTCTGTACATAGGGATATAGAGCTGATTATCTTGTTTTAAAATAAATAGTAAATAAATATGTAAATAATGTTACTCAGAAATATGTAACTATTTCTACTGCTAAAATAAGGGAAGTTTCCTGTAACCAGATTGCAACCCTGAGTCAAATTTATATCCAGCTTTTTTGTTCTTGGGAAAGGGGATGTCTGCATTTTATTAGCAGAGGGACAGGCAGTCCTCTCTCCCAACACAACTACAATAAACAGCTGTTGCTATCATCAAGAAATCATTTGTTGCAGCAACAGCTTTCAGTCTTGATATCGGTCTGAAACAATATTAACCTGTCAATCATTCAGCAGCAATTTTTTTTTAAAAAAATTTTTTTTAGGAAGTAGAAGTTTCCTAAACTGTAATTTGGGAGATTCTGGGTTGAAATCCCCGTGGCCATTGTGGCCTATTTGTTATATTTTCATCAGTCCTGTCAGTGAGGAAAAAGCAATGTGTTGTAAGCCTTCATGCCTGTTATTGAATAAGAAAAATTGTCCTGGGCTTTTTGTGGACCCCACAGCTGTAGTGACTGACCATGCTTAAAATTCAATTGATACTTGAGTCAGAAAGTAAATGCATCGCATCTACTGGCATGACATTTGGCAGTCTGTAGTTTAAATTGATATGTTCATCAGAATCTAAAATTTTTTCTAATGCAAGTGATTTCTCTTTTATCAGGCACAAACAGTGATACTTGATGATGGCATGTGAAGATAACAAAAAATGTTTCTCAGAGACTGGTTCCAGTCAGCTTGCTCAGATACTATGCTCAAATAAATGTGGTAATAATAACATGTGACTAAACAGAAATAATAGTGAATATTTTACTTAGGCTGTCATTTGAGGGGTTAGCAATCATGGTAGTATCCATAGTTTAACGTAACATTACACGTCATGCATTCTGACAGATATTCTTTTCTTTTTTAATTTCTTTTTTATGTTCTCACTACACCATTGTAATGTCAACAGCTCGCCCCGTTGGTAAGTAACCATCCTTCTATCCATTTTAGCATGGCTTCACGCAATGCTTCATCTTTCATTTGCAACAGCATTTAACTGGCTTAAGTTAGCAGCCAGTGTTGAATAGTATTAACTTTATAGCATCAGGCAAGTGATTTTGACTGACGAAGTGCTATTTCTGAACTTTCTATTTTCTGCTATGTCATGCGTAAATACATTTGCCAAATCACCAAGAAATAACCAGTCAGTGAAACTGAACGGGTATGGTGATACTGAGCCAAAATCATTCAGACATTTTTAACAGTCTATTTAAGGGCCTGGTATAAAAGCCATTGAAATCAACAGAATGGATTGTATTGACTTTGGTGAGCTTCTATCAGGCCCTAAATGATCAGCTCATTGTGCCTCTATTGCATAGCAGTAAAAGCACAGGCTTTTGCATGTCCTGTCTTTTTTGTGTCTTTCAAAGACTGTTGAAGTAAAATAGTTCTGAAATTGAAGAGGGGATGGAGTAGATTTCCGTGCTTGTTAAGAAAGTTCATCACTGATTTTCACCCTTGGGTCAACTTGGAGTGCATTCTGGAATGCACTGTGTAGGTTGTGACTATTCTGAATAACAAGTCCGGAGGAAGACAGTCTCTGGATTTTGAATTCTTATTGTGAAAATTGGATTCCTTCCTATGCCTTTGAAATTGCTTTAAAAATTTATAGAAATCTAACTGAGCATAATGGAAGAATTGCAGCTGCCACTAGCTGAAATTCACTTTTGTTGTTCACAAATATCCTGAACTTATTTAATGTTCATTCACGGATCTTTACTCTGTACCTGTATGGACTTTTTAAATAATTTAATCGATTGCACTGCCCCTCTGATTTTTGCAGTTTGCATTTATATGTATCTTCTAGAATAATAATATGGTTACTCTGTTTGGTGTTTTTTGTTTTTGTTTTATTAGTGTGAGAAGTCTGTACTGGTGTTTACAGAAATTGCTAAGAGCTTTAGTCTCTATGTAGTCAGCATTTTTTTAGAAATGCATTTGATTTTGACCTTGTCTCAGGTCTTCACTGTTATGAAGTTGGAGGAAGAAATGTTGGAATAATTTAAAGATAAGATCAAGATTAGGCATCTGTGTACATTACTAAGGTGATCCCATGCTCATTAGCTTGCTTGAACTATCGTGAATAGAGCCAAGCCATGTGCCTCTGCAGGCACTTTGTTGCTTATCTTGGAGAATTCCCCATGTAGGAGAATAATTCACAGTTCTCCATTTAGAAAGTCGATGGAAAGCTTTAAACCTGAGTCCCTATTGTATTACTTTGAGATTATGCTAGTTCTCAATAAATTAATTCCCAGGAGTTGTAACAGTAAAATTGGAGTAAACCTACAAAAACAGTTTTCCTTCCTATTCTGGAAGTGTAGTGGTTGCAGTGTATAAGTAGACTGCTTTCTTTGGTCACTTATATCTAATCCTCTACCTGTAGAAAAGTCTCTGTTCTCCATATAATAGGGCATGCTTTTACTTTTTTCTTCCTTTTCATCCTACTGTTCCTATCTCTGTTTCATTCAAAAGTAGGCAAAACAGGCTATGCTATGCTGTTGAAAATGTAAAGCCAGGTAGAACAAAACAAAGTAACTTCTCTCTCCACCATC